TAAGGAATAGTTGAAAAACTTCAAAGTTAATGATAGTAAGTTCACAACTAAAATAACGACATGATAAATTGCCCTATAAATCACATCCCAGTGGCAGTAACCTCTTTCACCATATTTTGTGAGTTTGCCTGAGGACAGACTCAACTACATGCAGAGACCAGATGTCTCACAGTCAAACTTGCTCTTTGAAAGACGTGGAGAAATGTGGCAGCTGAGCTGAGAGATAATACGAACAGTGCTTCTTTCAGCTACTTTATAAGTTACCTGGAAGCGAAGGATAATGGTCCAGATGAGACCCAGTGTGAGGCGGTGATTCCCATCCACAATGTCATGGGAGCCCATGTTTTCTAGATGGACCTTTTGCTCCTTGAGAAACTGCAGGGCTTTATCAACATTCTCCAGGCAGTGGATACGCATGCGACCTTTGGTGGGCTTTGGCTGTGGGGAAAGAAGACCTGTGTTGACATTGTTGAACAAATTGATTACAACATAAATTGAGGGGAAAGGGAGCAGGAATTAAAAAAGAGGAAGTAGAAGGCCATGTGAGTGCCATGCTGGGGCCTGGGTCAGGTTTGGGACAGAGAAGGGTGGTTTCTGTGTGACACTGACCAGCTGTTCTCCTGAGAGCACTTCCAGGAGGCGGATTAGCATGCGGCCATCGCGTAGGTCGGTGTACAAATCACCAATGCGACAGGTCACTCGGCCTAAGTGAGAGTTCACCCATTTGGTAAAGGTCTTCTTCTGAACCGCTTCACGCTCATCTGCAGAGAGCAAAAAAAGAAAAGAGCGGTGAAGTTACATTGCACAATTGCCTTTATGGACTGAGATGCCTACAGTCCAAATATCATTCCTATCAGAGAAATAAAAATATACAGGAAATTAATTTTTCACAATAGAAACATCATTGTCTACAGCTTTGATCACATCTTAGTAAAGACAGGTAACAGTAAATCATAAGGACTTAAGTCCTTGCCCTGAGCAGTTCATAAGCTGCACCATTAAGACTCCAGGATCACTGTATTGACAGCTTAGTGAGAGGTTTTCACTCTTAACACCAACGTTTACTGATGGCTCTGCTGATGTGTGCGCTGCCAATTACTGTGAAGATGTGAGATCAGGGGAGAAAAGTGACGATGCAAAATTGCACATAGAGGCAATGATATTTAGTGAGCACTTTTGTTGTTACGTTATTAGAGCAGGACTAAAAAAAGAATCACAATAAATTAAGCTCTAACAGCAGCTCAGACATATGGACCAGGGGAGTAAGAAGCTAATCCTGCTCCGCCACCTAACAAGGTGACCTCATTTCTAGGACACAAGGTCTCCCTGCCTTTTGAAAACACTTTTCTAGCATTGTACTTAATGCAAAGTACCTAACGCATGCCAAAACAGAACAAGCCTGAAGCAGACAGAAAATAGATCTGAGAAACAGCTGGGTACTAATGAGTTCAACAAAACAAAGCCTACTTACAGCAGCATGAAATTAAACACAATTGTGGCGACAACAAAAAGATTTTTGAAAATAATAAAAAATGCTAACGCCTTCATGTTTTTATATTCATCATTAAACAAACCTCAGTTAGAAAAGTAACAATGTAAAACTGTATTAAAAAACACAATGTAAAAAGTTGCAATACACCACACCTATCTACGACACAGTTTAAACAAATAGGTATAACATTAAAAAAACATAAAAATCATATGTGCATTGGATG